AACTCATCTAAAATTGATATAAAATAAAATAACAATTATAAAAAGTTATCGCAGGCTTTTAAAACAGGTTTTTCAAATCATAAAGGAAAACAAAATAGAGATAAGGCAACTAATTAAAGGAAATTCAAAACATAAAAAAGTTGAAAAGATATAAGTAAGTTCAAGGGAAGAATAATAAATTAAATATATCTGAAGAGATACAGTTTAATGTATGAAATCTTTGATAAGATGGATGCAATTCATTTTTCTTTCCATAAAGTCTGTGTTTATTTGGTTTTTCTTTTGGTCATCTTCTTTACTACAATCTTTTACTAAAAATGTATTTTGTTTATTCAGAAATATATTTTTATTTGATCTGCCTTTAAGAATTTTAAACTTTAGTATTTAAAAAAAAATTCAGTCGAAAATCTGGTCTACAAAATGTTTTAACTTTCGCATTTAAAAAGAAAACTTTCAGCCCGAAATCTGGTCAATTTTTTTTTAACTTCTATATAAAAAATACCAACTTTCAGTCAAAGAAAATATACTTCCGTATTTTCAAAACTTTCAGTCGAAAATCTGGTTTGGGGGTCGTCCATAAATGACGTCACACTCGTAGGGCTAGGGGGGTCCGTAATTTTGTGACGGTGTGTGATGACGGGGAGGGGGGGGGGGTTCAGATGGTGCGACGTCACACTTTTGCATTATAAAAAGGCAGTGTTAGAAAACGAATTTTAAACGTTATTTCGCGTTTTAGAAAACTGTTTTAATAAATTGTAATAACAATTGATTAAAATACTCTATTTTGACAGAGTTCAGACAAGATTTCAGAAAAATATCAATGTTTTAAAAAAAATTCAACTGCAATTTTGAGGGGGGGTTGTAGGCTGAGGTGTGACGTCATTTTAGGGGAAGGGGGGGCTCTGGCTTTTTGTGACGACGTGTGACGGAGGGGAGGGGGGTAGGTAAAAATCGTCCAAAAAAGCTTGACGTCATTTATGGATGACCCCTTTACAATTATTTAAACTTCCGTATTTTTTAAATTTTCAGTCGAAAATCTGGCCTTATAATTTTCAACTCCCGTTTTTTTAAAAACCTTTTAGTCGAAAACCTGGCATACAAAAAGGACAGCTGGATCAATAAGAAGACCTTGTACAAGCGTCACATCCGGCACAAGCTGCCCGAGGGTCACGCCGACCGGGCTGTGGACGGTGACCTTGACCTCAGGCTGCAGAGCTGCACCATCCTGGACAACCTGTACGGGAAGTACCCGCTGTGGACCGTGGACCTGGGCCACAAGACCACCGTGTCGGGTGTGGTCATCTACACCTGGCAGGGGGACGGGCAAGGTAAGCTTTACTGCGGTCTGTAGAAGTTTACAGGGTAAGAGGGGGGGGGGGGGGTCATGGCAGGGTGACGGGCAAGGTAAGCTTTGCTCCAGTCTGTAGAACTTTACAGGGTAGGGGGGACGGGCGCGGGGGTAGGGGGACGGGCAAGGTAAGCTTTGCTCCAGTCTATAGAATTTTACAGGGTAGAGGCGGAAGGGGGAGGGGTCATGGCAGGGGGACGGGCAAGGTAAGCTTTGCTCCTGTCTATAGAATTTTACAGAGTTAGGGAGGGGGGGGGGGGCAGGGTGATGGGCAAGGTAAGCTTTGCTCCAGTCTTTAGAAGTTTACAGGGTTGGGGTGGGGGGGTCATTGCAGGGGGATGGGCAAGGTAAGCTTTGCTCCTGTTGTTAGAACTTTACAGGGTTGGGGGGGGGGGGGGGGGTCATGGCAAGGGATGGGCAAGGTAAGCTTTGCTCCAGTCTTTAGAACTTTACAAGGTTAGGGGGGGGGGGTCATGGCAGGGGGGCGGGCAAGGTAAGCTTTGCTCTAGTCTTTAGAACTTTAGAGTGTGTTAAGGGGGAAGGGTCGAGGTAGGGCATTCTGCAAATGACTTTTTTATACGTTTTTTTTTGGGGGGGGGGGTAGTCTTGGAAATTCTTGGGTGGCGAACAACAGTTAGTCTGTATTTTCTGTATGAAAGTAATATTTCATATTCCTTTCTTTCCGTTGCACATAGAATCTATTTGTTTTATTTATTTTTTTTTGTTTTTCTTTTTTTTTTTTTGGGGGGGGGGGGGGGGGGGGGGAGCATTGAGCAGATGAAGTAGAGCTCATATTTGTCTTAACTTTGGCATATGAAGGGAAAATGCGATTTCTGCACCATGCCCAGTCGCTTTTACTTTCCTTAACTGAGTTGGGTACCCATCAAAGCTGGGTAGACTCAGTGACGTTCCACTGATTTGAACTTCGGATTCGAACTCAAGTCTTTCGAGTTAAAAGTCTAACGCTCCATCCAGCATCTGTAGTGTTTAATTATTATTTTGTCTGCGAGCAAAAAGGAAATCATGTATCTAGTTCGATTTTAAAACGTTTTTCTTAACTCAGCTTCGCGTTTGTTTGTTTGTTTGGTTGTTTGGATGTTTGTTGTTAAAATTGACATCGAAAATTAGCCCACTTCTGATTGCTCTAGAGACCTGAAATTTGGCATGCATGCTACTTTCGCCTAACAATTTCAGATGCAATCATAAAAACTAGCAATTAGTGACCGTAATTAGCTTAATTTAATTACGCCTCAAGGACCATAAAATTGAGGACATGATTTCTAAAGATACCGACAAGACTTAAAGCCTATTGACACAGTTACTTCGGCCCCAATCGATGTGAGCGCGCTGGCCGTGATCGTATAGTGGTTAGTATTTCGCGTTGTGGCCTCGACAACCCAGGTTCGAATCCTGGTCGCTCAAGATTTTTAGTCCGTGTATTTATAAACACTTTTTTAAAAACCACGTTTTTCATGTGTAGCAACGGACTAAAAGGAGAAAATAAAATACTTAAAAAAACTTTTTAAAAAACCACGTTTTTTATGTGTAGCAACGGACTAAAAAGGAGAACGGACACGGTAACACATTGTTAACGGTGACACGGTTGGTACGCTGGGCATGCTAAATTACACATAAACACGTTTTTCCTTAACTCAGCTTCGCGTTTATTTGTTTGTTTATGGGAGATTTGATCACGTGATTCGTGAGTAGATCTCCACGCCAGCAACGTAAATTACACCCTTTCTCTGTTTAAAGCGTATCGGTCGCTCAAGATTTTTTTAGTCCGTGTATTTAAAAACATTAAGACTTAGTCAAGTCATACTTAATCAAGTGATTAGATAAAGTAGAAAATAAACTATATAAAAACTTTTTAAAAACCACAATCCTGGTCGCTCAAGATTTTTAGTCCGTGTATTTATAAACACTTAGTCAAGTCATACTTAATCAAGTCATTGGATAAAGTAGAAAATAAACTATATAAAAAACTTTTTTTAAAAACCACGTTTTTCATGTGTAGCAACGGACTAAAAAGGAGAAAATAAAATACTTAAAAAAAACTTTTTAAAAAACCACGTTTTTCTTGTGGACTAAAAAGTAGAAAATAACTATTTACATACATTTGATGACAAAAAACGTGGGTCGGGCAGATGGGTCGGGAAATTTGATGGTGAACGTACCCACGTTTTTTGTCATCAAATGTATGTAAATAGTTATTTTCTACTTTTTAGTCCACAAGAAAAACGTGGTTTTTTAAAAAGTTTTTTTTAAGTATTTTATTTTTGTTGGTATAAAAAACAGTTTTTCTTAATTCACGGAAAAGGGGACATCACTCATCTAGTAATTATATTTGTATTTTTCTCAATTCACAGAAAAAGGGACATCATTCAGGGAGTACATGAAAAACCTGGACCAACTCGTCGTCTACGTGGACGACAAGATCCAGAAGAAAGATGACGAGCACGACGAATCCTACGCCTCCGGGAACATGTGCAACTACATCACCTCCCTCAACAACGCCCTCTTCAACAAGAAGCTCGTCCTCCAGTGCGTCCGCTCGCAGGTCGGGCGCTACGTGCTCATCGAGGCCTGGGGGAGACAGATCGGCTGGTCGCGTTTGTTTGGGGCAGTTCTGTGTGAGGTCCAAGTTTTTAACTGAGTCCAGAGCTTAATTAATCGGATCACCAGTTTTAGCCAAAGATTTATCAAGTGGACTTATACATCGTCAAATTAGCTCTGAATTGGGATTTTGTTTTTTATGCTGCAAATTACAAAGCCACGGCTATATAATCAAATACAATAGGCCTATATTATTAATATAACCCAAAAGTGTTTTTAATCAGCCAATGGGTATCAATGTTTTTGGGTTAAATCACCAATAGAAATAGTTCTAATAGAAGCTAACTGAGTTGTATAAAGTTTTTTAAAATTTAAAAAAACAAAAAAATAGGATCTTCTGGGCTGTTTTTTTTTTTTACAATGGTTAATTTTAATTTGAAACTGGTGGTGGTATGTACAAATTATTAACCTAAGGTTTGATAAATAAAATAATTAGTAATTTATTAATTAATAAAACATCGCTCTTTATAAAGAATTTTAAACAAGGATAATATCTATGCTAAGGAATTCAAAAAGTGTATTTTCCAGTTGTTAAAAAAAAAACATTTTAATGGAACATGCAGGATATTTTGGCTAAAACTGGTATATAAATCTAAGATGGAGCATATGCTCCATAACATACAGAGCATACATCAAGTTTACATCAGACCAGACTTTACATACACTCTATGTTCATACTTTTAAAATTTTGGATTTGTAACTTTGATGTGTGCTACAGATTATGGAAAAAACCTGTAAAATATTCTTCATTCATCACAGACAGAATTGTGACTTAATATTTTTGTTGAATGAGACTCATAGAAAAGGGGAGCAAGAATGATGGATACAAGAGTTATTAAACTTTATTTCCTGGATATATTAAAGCTAGCTTTGTGAAAAAACAAAAAATATGCTATGGACTAAACTATATAATGTGCTTATGCAAGTGGATAAATCATACAGAGTGGAAATAAACCAAAGGCTGTATTCGCACTATGAATAGTCTGAGGTTCCACATGGTAATCATATCTGTCAGTAAACAATTTACATGACCTCGTAAACAAATTTGTTTTTTAAATCACTCACACCAAAATTGTGAAGCAGGACGACAAGAGACCAAATAAAATTGGCTGCATTGATTAAATGATGGTGCGCGGCATCACAATATACCAACGAAAATGGTCGTATTGATTAAACGATGTTGCGCACCATGACAAGATACCAACGAAAATGGTTGCATGATTATACGATGGTGCTACAGTCATGTATTCCATTCTTGACCTATAACCATGGATTAAAAACACCATCTACACAGATATTCATAATTCTTTAAAGACTAAACATCTACTACAGTTGTAGCTGATACAAACCAAGCCATAATATTGTGGACCCAGCCCCAACAAGAAATAAAACTAAAAACTTTGAATATTTACTCATTTACTGTGTATATTAAAATAATAATAACAATACATCCTTATTTATAAATCTTTAAAGCTGTATCTTAAATATGAAATAAAAAGAAATGATTTAGAAATATTAGTTTTTTGTGTTCTTTTAGTTAAAGAGAGATAACTCCTGTATTATGTTCTACAGTAGGTTGTTGTTACTGATAACATTTTACTATAAAATATTTAAGCTCATAACGCTGGAATTTTTTTTTAAAAGCAAAAAAAAAATTGTTCCTATATTTTTATAATTTGTAACCTTAGTAATAATTATAAGAATTTAAAATTGTGTTATAAATAAACTTGTACAAAAATAAAATTCACGACAATGCTTAATTTTACAAGAGGAGTGTTAAAAAATATGCTAATCATAAATTGTCAGCCCAATGGAGCATTTTGGGATGCCGATTTTTTTTTTTTTTGTATTTTGATTTGTGAATAACGTTCATTAATCCATTCGAAAGGATAAGCAGTACCATATCTACTATGAAGCAAATGGGCAAAGCTTAATTGTTTATTATGGCTTTTACTTATTGCATACTGGTAACTAAATATTTATAATGGGTTTTTTTTTTAATGACTGCATGTCAGAATTGAGATACAATTTTTTTTTAATTTCAAATTCATGTTAATTTAACAATAAAAACTAATATAAAAAACTTCTTATTTTCAAATTATAATTTATAATAAAATATTGTATTTTTTTTTTATCTAACAAAATATCTTAAATTTTTAATTTTGTGAAACTGATAAATGAAAACAAAACAAAAAAATATGTTTTTCTTGTACCAGATGTATAAACTTTTAAAAATTATTTAAAACCAAAAAAAAAGACATTAAAAGCATTGTTTACGTTTGTGTGTACAATATTGTTCAAGCTTTCACTACCTCTATGTGTATTTATGATGTAATTATGATTTGCATGTAGCCACAATTACACCCCTGCTAAAAACTATACGTCTGTGTAACAGCGACTGTAAACACGAATAGGCTTTTACCATTTGTGCTTGTTGTCACGTCACATCAAAGATTACATATAACCCTAACTGTAGCAGCAGTCAGTGTACATAATAATACCTTCATCACAGACATATATCTCTACGTGTACATTAGAATAGAAGAAAGAAAATTTGAAGAAATGAGAAAATGGATGGAGAAAAAAGAAGAATTAATGCTTATCACAAAAATGTTCTTGTAAATATGAACAATCTGTTTTACGAACTCACATGTAGTTCTCTACAACTGCAAAAACTGGGGAAGGGTAGGGGGGGTGGAGGTGGATCAATCACACTAGTGAGTGTGTGTTAGACAGAGTGTCTTTGTAAAGCTAGATCCACTTTCTTTACCATTAATTTTGTGTGTATATATATATATATATATATATATATATATATATATATATATATATATATATATATATATATATATTATATATATATATATATATATATATATATATATATATATATATATATATATATACACACACACATGTATGTATGTATGTATGATTTTGCTGCCATACAAGTTAAACAAAAACAAAGGTACTGACTGTTCCCATACCCCATATTAAGGCATCAATATTACCAAAATTTACTTTTTTCCTTTCATTCAGTTTAACACTAGATCTAAATGTGTATTCCACTCCTATCAAGTGAATAGTTATGGTATTTGTAATATGGATAAAAAGTTTTGACAAATAATAATTAAAAAAAAAACATGACTTATACAGCAAAATGCAAAAATTGCTGTTTGTAAAAGTAAAGCTTATAAAAAAAGTACTTAATCATAAACTAGGGTGGGTTTTAATGTATATCTATTTTATATCTATTATTTAGGTACGCTGTGTCCTTATAAGCATGTTGTGTATCTGTTCATTGATGTGTACATCAGAACATCTACACTAGAAAACAATTTTTCGAACATTGTTATCATACTATTATTGTATGTTTATCTATGTTACTTTGAATGAATGAAAGTTGAAGAAAGAAGAGAAATAAAAGAAAATCATCTTGTACAGAGAAAGCTTTTCTTGTCTTCGTTTACTTATTTATATTAGCATATATTTACATATCTATAAAATGGAAATGTTATTAAAATATGACATGGATAAAATTTCAATTCAATGAACTCACAGACCTTAACAATTTCTGTTTTTACAAGATTCGTTATTTCGCAATAAAAGTATATTTTAAAATTTCTTTTTGGGATTTTATAAAATTGAAATAAAAATTGGGAAATAATTCATTTATAATATCTATATTTAGTAAGTGATAACGTTGTACAAAGGTCATGTTTGTAAAACAAGTTAAATAAAATACTCATAAAGATAATGTAATTTTTCTTTTAAAGTAGACTTCATTGCTATATTTATTTTTCATACTTTAACTTATACTCACAATAAAGAAGAGCTAATGTTTAAGCGAAATATACATTATGTGTTAATAGATGTTACTAATGATTAAAATTATTACTAAATTCAAAGAAGCAGCACTTTAATTATTTTCATTAAAAAAAATGAATCTTTATTAAAATATAATGCCAAGTTTTTGTAAATTTCATATTTAAATAATATTTTAAAATCAAAGGTTTTTAAAGTTCATAGGCACTCTTGACTGGATGTTACATTTTTGTTTAGAGTTAAGTTCCCCTGCCTTGTGTTGTTTTTGTCCTGTCATATTTAAGCCATGTGATATTTCAATCATAATTAACACATATGTGTATCAAATTAATTTTTTTTTTGTTTCATGACTGTCCAAATTATTGGTAGCAAGTTATGGATTTAATTTTTTTTTTTATATTTAAAAGTTTTTTGTTTAAACTTTTTGTAAAAATATCTGGAACATAAAATATTAAAAACCTTATAATAGAAAAAGTAATAAAAGTAATCCAAACTTTTATTGTTAACATAAATAAATACTTAAACATGCTTTTATTTTTTGCAATGATTAAAGAAAATGTAAAGTTTCAATATAGGCCTACTTGTAAAAATTATTGTTTTTTAAATTTTTTGTTCATTAATTAGTTTTCATCAGGTATTTTTAAAAATAAGTGGGAGGGGATAAGAATTAAAACTTCATTAAAAAAAAATTCAGTTTTTAAAAAAAAAAAACTGTACTTATTGATCTAAAATGTTTATGGTGAAACTAATTAAAGAATGTACAACATACTTTATAATAAACTCAGAAACTCTTATAGTATAGTTTATTTTGTAGATAGATAAAACTGTTCCCAGATTTTTTTTTCATACAAAGCAACGGAAAAAATCGATTTTTTTTTGTAAGTTTTAAGATACCATTTTATATTCTGCCTGTTCATTTCGTTTGTTCAAACCATACGAAGATGGAATGGTAAATGAGTAAATAAAACAAAAGAATAAACCATCTTTTGAGTTGCTTTTATAAACTGTTTTGTGTTGGTGTTTTTTAAACTGCAAGTAACTAGTGAACTGTTCAAGCTAAGTGGAAGTGAAATTCCCTTTCGGATTTAATTATCCGTATGGCAGATAAAGTAGAGTTCATATTTTTCTTAACCTCGGCATATGAAGGGACAGTGTGATTAGCGGTATGGCTAGCTATCTTACTTTTCCTAACGTGAGCTTGGTGGGCTAAGAGACGCTTTACAATCTTAAGTCCGAAACAAGATCCGAACTCGTGACTGCTGGGCTAGCATTCATGCGCTCTAACACCCGACCACGCCATCCCATTACTTGGTAGCAGTTGATATTTTAAACTGCTGGATTCCGAATTTTTATGCAATACAGCTAGCAGTTATATATCTACTGATTTATAATAGTGTTATCAGTGATACCGGAAGTGGAATTTATTCTGCTTTTAGTTCTTCAAAAGTCTATAACTTAAGTACTGTTTTAGATAGATAAACGAAATTTCACATATAAGTAAAATATCTAATTCTCTACCTTCTGTCGAATTTTGAGTGATATCCGTTGCTTGTAAGTAGTAATTTACGCTATTTCCGATTTCTCAAAAAACGCATATGATTTTATAAAGAACTAATAATATTCCGCACTATTAAACACAGATTGTTTGGCGTTCACCCGGTGCGCACTTCTTATTTTCCACGAGATTCGATTCTATTTTAAAAAGTTTAAGTAATTAAAAATGGATTAAAAATCATGCCTATATCCCGAGTTGCAATCCCTCGTAGTGTTATGTAAGAATATTCGAGAAAGTTTAGGGGAGATCACTCCCGGTTTATATTACTTTGAAACATGCAATGATTTTATAAATTTGAACCTCTTTTGAAACCTTTAGTACCGGTAACCAGATTACGAATCTAAATCTAAAATTCTAAATCTTACCGTAATCCTTGTTTGGGTCGTTGAGGCGCCACATAGTGGTGTGTCTAGGGCTACATGACCCATGGCGGCGCCCACCCCTTTCCATGCCTAACCACAGCCGGATTCCTCCATCTCGGTGGCTCACCTTGGTTACGAACATAAGGTCCTTGAAGTTCATCGAGACACTCATGCGCCGGGCCGGTGACTTTTACTGTAAAGCCCGACGCCAAGTGATGTTGTTTGATTTTGGGGTTTTCTCTAAGTCTACTAGATAGATTTCTGCCTCAATACCGGGGTTCAAATTCGGGACTTTTCGGTTTAGATCACGAAATGGGGAAACACCCATGACCAATGTGAAAAAAGGCCTTTGTGCCTACAATTGTAACCGTTGTTTGAATAAATTTGAATTTGAATAAATTTGAATTTGAATAAATTTGAATAAATTTGAATTTGAATATGTAGACTGCAGACTCGACAATATGCTTCCTCGGAAGTTCGTGTTTACCCATCCAATAATTAAAAATCTGCAATTTTAAACTCCTTGAAGGCCGGCCTTTCAACTTGCACGGCGGAACCCATGAGCAGAGTCTAAGATTCGAGCAACTGGGATTCTGCAAAAATAGTGTAGGTTTCAAAGCTTGCAGTTGAGATATTTAAATCTTGTAACATCTGCAGGTCGTGGAGCGAACCTCTAGGACAACCTCAAGATATTGAGTTTGTTCTAGAGCTAGCTGATTCGCACAGTCCATGGTGATGCGAGTGACCCGGGAACGTCTATGCTATTTTTCTTAGTCTACTAGTGAATCGAAACAACCTTAGAGGAACTCTACTTTCCCCGTGCAAGGACGGTTTTTCCCCGCCGTGAACCTACCTTGTCGCGGTGGCGGGGCAGACGGGCAGCGGTGCCTGGCCAACAGGTTCGCAGCCTACTTACAGGGCACAGTGGCATATTAAGGAAGATGGGGGGGGGGGGAGGGGAGGGGAGGGGGGAAGAGAGACAGGCCAACAGGCTCACATCCTACATACAGGGCACAGTGGCCTATTAAGGAAGATGGGGGGAGGGGAGGGGAGGGGGAAGAGAGACAGGCCAACAGGCTCACATCCTACATACAGGGCACAGTGGCCTATTAAGGAAGAATGGGGGGGAGGGGAGGGGAGGGGGAAGAGAGACAGGCCAACAGGCTCACATCCTACATACAGGGCACAGTGGCCTATTAAGGAAGATGGGGGGGGAGGGGAGGGGGAAGAGAGACAGGCCAACAGGCTCACATCCTACATACAGGGCACAGTGGCCTATTAAGGAAGATGGGGGGGAGGGGAGGGGAGGGGGAAGAGAGACAGGCCTACATCCAACATACAGGGCACCCCTATTAAGAAAGATAAGGGGTGGGCGGGGGGGGGGGGGGGAAGAGAGACAGGACAACAGGCTCACATCCTACATACAGGGCACCCCTATTAAGAAAGATGAGGGGTGGGCGGGGGGGGGGGGGGAAGAGAGAGAGAGACAGGGGCAAACGAAATATTTTTGAGATCTAGTATATCAAGGGGATTAACCCATAGTGGCGAGACGGAAGTTCTGAAATTTTTTGAACCTTTTTTTCCATACTGGCGAATTTTGTTTTTAAATTTAAACATTGATTTTCAGTTAATTCTACGCCTAATATGGGCCAGCCAATAGAGTTTATTTCCGGTATCTCTTAGATGGTGGGGTTACTGCGCGCCCCTTCCGAAGGAAGTATACCCCCTACCCCGAGCGAAAAAGAATTAACGCATAATTTATATAGAAAATATATACTTTTAACCCTTTTCCACCCAGAGGCGTAGCGAGGGGGGGGGGCGGACCGCACCGGGTGACACCATTTAGGGGGGTGACACCAAGGCAAAAAAATAGTAAAGAGAAAAACTTGAGGGGGGTACAAATCGAAATTTCGAGGGGTTGGGGGGGGGGGGGTGCAAATCGAAAATTTGAGGGGGGTGCAAATCGAAAATTTGAAAGTTTGTCCCCGGGAAGGGTCGCTACGCCTCTGGGGGGTGACACTATTAAGTGCCGCACTGGGTGACACCCGACCTCGCTACGCCACTGTTTCCACCCCCACCCCCT